ATAGCTAGTATAGTGAGGAGTATTTATAGAAATAAACTTATATGTTACAAATACTCTATTATGAATGATTACGGTAGCATAAGCAGATTAGTCCGAGGTATTCTCAGTGGCTTTTTCGTTTAAATTGGTGTCTATGTAACACATTTTTTTTTACCTGCATGTGTCGTGTAGTATTTTTCGGATATTATTATAATGTAACATCAACTGATAGTTTTTCGTAATTACGACGTCCTACTCACGTTATCCAATCAATTATCATTCTTAAACCTCTCGGTCTTTATCGTTTTCAACTTTATACTTTATAAACTTGCTGCAATTGATTTTTCTTCCTTTCCTTACTGAAGAGCACGGAAGGAGGAATATGCTTTTGCTCGGCTTCCGTCTAAGGGCACGTGCGAAACGGAAGCTGAGCTATCTCTTTGCTTTCGACCCCCTCAATAATTCTCATTTATTAGATTTTACAAACATAGTTCATTAATCTGTTCAAAGATTTATTCAGAATGTTTCCTAGTCACATGTAGATGGGGTTAATAGACACTGATACCAGAAAATAGCCACAAACGTCTGGCTAAAGCAGCACACAAATGGGCCTCTTCGCCCACTAGCGACAGGATCGGAGAATTACTTGTCCGTTTCCCTGGGTTGGCCATGTGAGTAGGGGCATGAGTAGCCTACTCGCTGTCGCGCGCCCGAAGGCTTGTGACTCCGCTATGAGAACAAGCTGTTCAATCTGCCCGCGAACCCGCATGAAACGGGTAGCGAATGATTCTGCCGCTCATCTCACTTCAGAGATCGTTTTCTTACTTTACTACAGAGACCGTCTTGAACTCTCCAGCCCCTGGAAGCCAAAAGCACTCATAAATTTTGCATTATAAACTGACCCATTACATATGCGAAAATTGTTCCGTTTTAGCATGTTTTTCGAGGGAAATTCTAGCTGAAAAGCCCACCTACAATTTTTTGCATCTCAACCTTTTCCACTTAGCTTTCAGCCTTTTTGTCGCTTTCTTGCAATGAAAAACTTTTTTTAAAATTAGTTTCTGCAATTCCAATTAGACTAGTGTTCACGGATAATGCATTCTCAGAAAGCAATGCTTTGATGCTGACTAAACAGTAAACAGTGAATGGCTCTTAGATTTGACTTCGCCTACTTTTCCGCGACACAAGATTGAGCTCCGATAATCTTCCTTTCATCCGAGTCACTGCAGCTTCGTTGCAGTCTGAAAAAAAGCTCCGATGCTGTTCTGGGCTATGATTAGACCGTTTCTTCGGAAACTCACTTCCCTGTCTGTTCTTTGTCAAACAGACGTCGTTCTCATGACAACACCCTCAGCTACCGACATCAAACATAGCCTGTTTTTCGTTTCCCTCGTGATCACCAACATTTTTTTTCACCAGTCATTATTCAAGATCCGAGTTTGCATGCAAAGGTATAATATTCACGCATCCAAAAAGCACACTCACTCTCCTCCACGTTCTCGCGTTACCGCAAGCTTTGTGGACTAAACCTTTGAGGCGAACCATCACCAAAAGGGTACCAGCAGTACTTGGTTTTCTCCAGCAAACCTCCGAGAAGCTTCTCGTACCCCCGCTTCTAGCCTGTTTATTGCGTCTTTTCGTTCAGTAATACCTCACATATGGTGTCTTAAAAGCAGACTGGCGAGCTGTCTGGAGCTGGACTGAATGTTTCCTAGTTAAGAAGCATGTCGAATCGCCCTCCACAGGCAATTCTTCAGTTGGGCAAACAGAAGTGCTCACCGGTCGCTTTTATTAATCAACGTTCGTCACCTATGGACTATTCTAAGACAATCCCGCGATAAGGTGTTAAGGGTATTCGGTGCTCCACCATGAGCCAGTAGCTCACAAGTAACTCGCCAGTAGAGAAAGATGCGAAAAAACCTTGGGAACATTCCGACCAGAGATCCCCCCCTCCCCATTCAGCATGGGCACCTTGGACGAGTTTGTCGCGACGACGGCAAGCGCAAATCAGCAAAGATTCAACGTGCAGCCAGTTTCCGACAAGAGCACAGGAAATCACCCTACGACGCTCCAGGCACGCTGTGTACGCACGCAATTCCGCTTGTAAGCCGCTGTCTTGCAAAGTGAAAAGTAATCAAGCGGTGCATGGTTGCAACATAACAGCGTCTCTAGCTTTTATATCGCCCTTTCTCGTGACGAAAGTGGTATATTCTTTGCGAATGCTGACCGGTACCAAATTCACGGAGGAATTCCGCGGAGCACTTGGTCGCGGGAAATGTCTTTCAAAGCTCCACCGTTATGATCCAAGGCTAGAACTTCTCAACCCTACAAGATAACGAGGTTCACGACCGCCGAGGCTTTACTAGACTTTACTACATTCAAGTCTTCGAAAATCGGCTCAGAACATGGGGGCTCAGGTGATGGGTCAATAGGGTCTCATAAGGTAGTCCCGATAGTCTCGGCCAGCCCGCCGTTGGCCATTTGCGTTCTCGCTTGTCCTTTTTTTCGGCTGTCCAGCCTGCATCATGCCAGCTCTCCTCGTCCCTCTCTCAGCTACAGTTCTCACGATTCTGAGCAACCATTTGTGCTTTTTTTGAGTTTTCGATAACATCCTGCTCTTTTGTATATTACGAAAACGAGCTGACAACATCACTTCTACATCGGATAAGCCTGTAAACGCGGTATGGGGACATTGCTGCTAAAACTAATCACAGTTATTAAGGCTGTTGTACATTGTTTTTTTGTATTCAAAACGAAGTTTCAGACCTGGTATTACTCCTGGCGGTAGTAGCCTCGATAAGATGGCCATACGCGGCGAAAACCTTAGTCTCTCACTTCGATGATCCACATGAGAACGATGTTCGTTTCTAATCCTTTTACTAACTCACACAAAAAGCCGCGGGTATATCTGGTGTCGTAAATCCCATTCCATAACTCGGAGACGATAGAGCGTGGCTGCCTATTTCATCTGGAAGTTACGAACCCGCTTTCACGTTGGATCTTTCCATTCCAACCCTCATCCAGTCTTACGCTAGACAAGGGCATGTATAGAATTGTCCCAAAATGAAGACCAATCCCACAGGCCGCTGTCGCCGCGTTGAATGAAGCGAGAGTAAGCCACGCCCTCCCCTATTTCTGTATAATCGAAATGCATTTTTCCCATTTTTGTCCAGGGTCATGGCCCAATTTTCCCCTTTTGTGAGGGCCTTCTTCTGAAATGGAGATCCTCTGCGGGTGCTTGATCTAACCCCTGGCGGGACCTGATGGACTTCTTACTTTTGTATTTTCTTCACTAGTAAATGTTTAATTAACAGGCCTCACTTAGGTGATTAACCGCAGTGGTCTTGGAGGGGCGAAACGCGCTTGAACTGCTCTCGTGAGCCCTGAATGGTGTAGAAATTGCAAGTAACCCTTTTTTGCAAAGGAGAGGTTACAGGTAATCACAGGTGGCGTTGCAGCAAGCTTCGCAGAGTACGCATCCTAATGCACTAACCGCCAAGCAGAAACTGTGGGAAAGGGTTTCTTGTGAATTAAGTGGGGATGCTCCATCTTACCCACTATCCCCCATATAGATTCCAACACACGTCCCGCAAAGGTTAATAACCGCAGCTTTTCATTAAAACCGGACAGCTGGTACAGAAACTGAAGAAAACAATTCATTAATACATTGACAAAAATCGCCAATGACATAGCTTCCATTTAGTTTTACCCACCGCGCGATTTTGAGCGCGAGGTCGATGGCGTCGCGTATTCTGAAGGGGGCGATATAATCAGGGAGCCATTTCCCCTCCCATTGTGGAGCGGCCAAGTGCCAACAAAGAAGTGAAAACGCCAACTCTGGTCAGCCCCGACAAGACCCAGCGTATACAGGGGGGGGGAAGCTAAAAAAAGTCACTTCGATCGAGTCTCATATGAGCAAAGTTTTCGCAGCCCAGACAGAGGACGTGATACGAGTTGCCAGGGTGCGAAGATACCCAAGGGGATTTCCTGGATAGCAGGAGCTGCGCTCGCCCATCACCTTCATGTACACCAAAATATGAAGTCATCTCCAGTCGCAGCCTGACTGGAGAAGACCTTTGGAATTCATGTCACCTCCAAACAGCTGCGAAACTTCTAGTATGGAGTCACCCATGGATAGCTACCTGGAGACCAGTACTCTCGATCTGGATGACCTCCAACATCGAGCAGCTCCGACAACGTCGCTACGGTCTAGGACATCATCTTCACCGCAGTCGCCAAGGCGCGGGTTGATGGTATGGACCGGACGTACCTGGAATGGAAAGACCAAATATTTTCTCGTGACTGGCACTGAAGGTGAGCGCGGCGTTACATGGAGCAATCGAGACGAAATATGCTCTCCACAGCTTGGGTTTCGTCGCCCGTACCTACCCCCATCTTGAAAACACAGCATTGGGTGCCACCACATGGAATCGAAGGGCGTTGGAAAAACTCTCGCCTACTTGGAATGGAAGGGCGTTGAGTACCTGAAGAAGAGTGGAATATCTAAGTGTGTCACCTGACTTGCAGCCCCGCTCAGTTACCTTGGGAGTTCAATAAGTGTCCAAGTGCGGAGAATCTACTATCCTCGTTTTGATCTCAGCCACCACAACGTGGTCGCGTGCCAGAACTCCCTTGATGCCGCTCGTCCGAATGCTGTGCGGAATCATATAGTATTAAATGCTCTTAACAATGGTGGTGGAAAAGGTCGGATTAGATTCAGTAAAGTGTTCGCTTATAGGCCCTCTTAAAGTCAAAGACCAGAAAAGGTACTTTTTTTATTACCCCGCCCCCCCTGTATGTGTGTCTGGCTTATACTTCGCGGGATCTCCCTATAATTCCGCAAATTTCCCCCTTTTTGGTATCCCTGCCCTATACTCCGCGAGTGCGCGAGTTGAGTTCTATTTCGAGTACTCAGCTAATATAGCCGTTACTATAATGACATTGACTGGGTTCAATCACTGCCAAGTTCACGTCAAGTTCGTCACCCTGGCCGCCAAGTCAGTCAAGTTCGTCACTCTGGAATGAAATATCTTTTAGTGAGAAAAGGATGGGAACTGTATGGGCACTCCAATGGATGGCAGGGGATCCCGAATATAATTCCTCTCGATGAAGCATGAAAATACGCTTTTCAGGGTCCTCTACCGAAGCCTCCGATCCCGACCTTAGATCACTCGCTCGATCGTTACATTGAATATGCTGAAGTGGTGGCTGAAGGACGTCGTCAACCGCTTCAGAGAACGCAACGAGCCGTCTATGACTTCAGAAAAGCAGGCCTTATCTACCAAAAAAGGCTGCTTCGGTTGGCTGAAAGCGAAGAGAATTGGGTGGGATAATCACACTTGACTAAAAAGCTCCAAATGTTCTTCTGAACCGAATTCCGATTCAATTTCTATTCAGCTTTCTTTCAGATCAATCAATTCTGGCTACCCGAGATGTATCTACGAATTCGAATCCCACTACCAGTGAATGTTAGTCCAGCTTATATTTTTCCACAGCAACACTTCGAAGGAGAGGATGATTGGCTCAGGTAAAAGTGCTCATCTGCTCATTTCTTCTTTATTGAACTTGAATCTTAGAAAATTTCGCTGAACGCTGGAGAAACGTAGAGTACGGCGCTACCTGGCTTACTATTAGAAGGCGGGGTTGGGAGGGAGGTATTTCGCGTTTTCGCTGGTTTCTTATGCTAGACGTTGTCGAAGAAAGGAGTGGAAGTTTCATCGGGAAAGGTCTGAAGAAAGCCCTAATTTTCGAGCTTGTGTTTTGGATTTTGACGAGCTTATGAAGAAGCGAGGAGAACCTGAGGGTGCGGGTAAAAGAGCACTCAACTACGCAGTCAGCGAAATCCGAAGCCCACCACCGTAGAGTGACGGCACATTTATTGGCTTGCGTTTTTGCTGCTAGAGAAGCTACCCTCGTGCCTACGCCACTTCCTTTCTGGAGAAAAACCTAACAAAGCCACTGGGCGTGGACCTTCTTCGCCCCATTTAATAAGCGGAAAAGATAAACTTGGGCGCTGTTTGGCTTGAAGTGAGGAATTTTGCTCTTTTACTAGTCTATTTTTTCTTTTTTTTCCTAGTGCGATTTGAAAAACAGGTTCCTTCTGACAGCTGAAAACTGTAAAATCTTGTGAAGCAGCGGGAGCTCACAGCTTTCCACAAGTTGGCCTGTACAAACTACGAGTGACACTTGTTGATCCCTCCTAAGCCAAACTGCCTGTTTTCTTTTGTTTCGGAGATACCTGCTTTTTTTAGGTACACGGCGCTTTTGATAAGGGGTTTCGTGGAATATAAGAACAAGATCGACACGTGAGTGTACTAGCTTATTTGAGGTGAGACTCTGAGACCGAACTGTGAACGACTATTTTTCAGAAAGCAATTGGAACGAGAAATTTCAACTGGAAAGGATCAAAGTTCATATGTGCATGCAACAATATGACAGAATTTTAGGCTGTTATAGGTAAGGGTTCTCCAGCGTTACAGCTGACATTGCGTTCCCGAGAGCAGTTACTTTCCAGGCAACCCGAGATTGATGAAGATGTGCATTATTTGAAAACAAGAAGACATTCTGAAAACGAACATGTACTGGTCATGTCTAGGAACCAGGTACGTCATTTCTTCTGTTATTCGAAGAATCTTCGGCACTAAGGTAGTTGAAGGGGACCACTTGGCACGAGTGAACACTGTCCGGCCCCTGCTCCTGCTTGCCTGTGCCTTCGTTAGCCTCCAACAAGGCACATTTTGCATTGGAGATCTCCAGCGAGAAGAGCTGGGAGGGAGGAGAGGGGGGGGGTGTACTTGCTTTAGAAAACGCTTTTCTTTGCTTCCTTTGTGACTTTTCTCGAGTTCCTGTCTCAAGTGAGGTATTCACTCTCCCTGTGGACAGAAGTGTGAGGAGGAAGGAGGGGGAGGGGGCGGCCCGGGTGTAGGGGGATAAAGTTAGTGAAAGAGCCTTGGGGCGAAAACATTGGAAGGGAGCTGCGAGAATTTGAGGAGTACTTAGGTAGGATGGGGGATGGAGAGGCGGGGTCGTAGAGCCAGGAAATGGGGGGGGGTCATATTCAGCGAAAATGTTCCCAACGGCACTTCTGCCGTGGTCCTAACAGAACTTTATGAAGGAAAATGGCCAACTCCCCCTAGCAATGGCACAGCCCGCCTTCGGCAATCGTAGCCACTGCCTTCGACGAGTAGTGGGGTGGTCCAGTCTAATTTCCGACCGCCCCAGAGCTAACTTAGCTCCGAACTTTCCCTCAAAGCGCTTACCAAAACAAAAAAAAAAAATAAAAAAAAAAAAAAAAAAACAAAATGCCTCCAACACGGAAGAGATCCATTTCTTAATAAATGAATAAATAAATAAATAATTAAGTAATTAGTAAGTACTACAATAATAAACAACTTAATAAATAAATAAATAAGTCTTGATTTTAGGCATTTGTGGTGCATACACGTGTAGGTGGTAATATGCTACCGTTTGCCGATATTCTGTACCAATTACGGCAAGTATTGCGGATGTCCGAAGCACGAAAAGGGCTCGCTATAGCCATTGGAGCTGCTGGAGCCGGTGATCGCGATAGATCAGCTCGCTTCTGGAGCGCTATGCAAGAGGGTGGGTTAGTTCAAAGTTAATGAGAGACCATGAGAGATTTTCAGGAGGCGTGCCCGGTACCCACATCGGTATCGGCCCTTTTTCGGAATTTACTGCCCCTTTTTTCCAATAAAACTCTGTTTAAGTTGGAAATCAACAGCATTTCTTTGACATGGGCTCGTGATGCGTTGTTTGTCGTCTGCTTGGACGACGAAGATAGGAAGAGTGCTTCTTCTGAGAACTCCCCTGCGAACGAGAAGAGCCTCGTCCAGCAAGGAAAACACATATCCTAACTGGTGGCGGAAGCCATGGTTTTGGCTTAAATCGCTGTATGCATGCGACCATTCAGGATTGGAAAATCAACCTACTTCAGCCGTTTTCCATAGTCCTTGATCACTTATTTTCAGCTAGTCGGTCAGTTAGCAGTGCGTACAATACGTTGTTTTTGTGCATCGAACATTCCGCTGCTGAGGGCATTGTCATCATCTACATGGCTGAAAGTGCACTTCGATACGAGCGAGAAAATCGAAAACGAATTATGGTAAGTGGTCTGGAAGACACTCAGCAAGCATCACTCCCGGTGGTTCCGCAGATCCGCAAAAAAGCTGAGAAGCGCATCCCTGTTGGTTGCAGACTAAGGTTACTCTCCTCATCATTACGGACTCAGTAGGGTGCGCACACTGATTTGCAGCCGTCTCGCTTTTTCGTTCACGCGTATGCGACAAAAAAAGGTAGAAAACGAGTAATACGAAGGATATAATGCTGTCATGTCATTTGCTCGCTTCAACAACTGGTGCAGAAAGACTTTGGCACCGCGGAAAACGCAGCCGCACTGACCCGCCCCGACAGTCCGTAATGGATGGGGTGAGAAACTTTACTTTTGGGAGGGGACCTAAATTCTTGTTTCTGTGGGCAGATGAGTCAGGGATGGTATGTTGCGGTTTGATCCAGCGCCTGACCTGTTTTCCGCATTGTTTGTTTCAGCAGGCAACAAGACTCAATCATATCATTCCCATCTGTCGTTTTCCATCAGCTGTTGAAGCTTACCATCTGACAAGAGCCTTACAGGCCTAGATACTGGATAGACTATTTATTGCAGGTCACGTTGGCGCTGATGGCTTGGAGCTTCTACGAAAACAAGCTGCAGAGCTTGATGAGTGAGTTACCCGTTTATATCTCTGGGGAGCAATTTATTTGTTATTAATAACTGATGGAAAAATAGTACCTGTTTAGCCTCAAAAGATCAGGGATAACCTAGAGGTTTGAGATTTGAAAAAAAACTCGTTTGTCTTCGGGAATATTCTCTGGTGCCAGTTTTTCCCTTGTTGCATAACGTCCACGAGCTTTGCAGTATTAAAAAATTATGAAATGAAAATAATGAATAGTTGTAAGTGCCAAGATGGGACACGGTAAGCTCTAAGCTCTGATATTTTTGCAGACTCACAAGAGAGCTGGACTTGGAAGTGCTGATATTTAATGATTTCGGACGAAACTTCATGAAGAAGAATGGCTTCAGCCCTGATGGCTTCGTTCAGTTGGCGCTGCAATTGGCGCACTATAAGTAAGTCCTGGTTTCAATCCTGTCTTCCTAGAGAGCACCTTCCTTGTGGGGGGTATGTGTAATTCGCCGCGCTGGTGGGCGTCGCGTGCGACGTCGCGACCGCAAAGAGACGATGGTTCCAGGTAGTAGATGGCGACAACAGGCAATTCAGAACCGGAAGTAGTAATGTCTACAATGAAGGGGTCGCAGTCCTGTGCTCCAGTCGACAGGGTAACACAAGTTAAGAAAACGCCGCGCCCATCGCCGCACGCGGCTGGGCGGCAAATTACGATTCTCTTGCCCGTCTCCCCCTTCCTTGTTGCGTGACCACCTATGTAATGAGAACTATCATGTGACCTCGATAAAACACTGAGTGATCCCTGTAAGCGAATTTTGAGCAGAAACTTTGTTAAACTCAGGGGTAGTAACGGTATCTGATGCTTTACTTGAAACTTCTTTCAGGCTCCACGGGTACCTCGTCTCTACGTACGAATCAGCATCACTGCGACGATTCCGAGCTGGAAGAGTGGATAATATTCGAGCGAATACCAGAGAAGCTCTCCAATGGGTGAAAGCGATGACGAAAAACGAGTCTAAGGTGCATACAGTTCTCCATAAACATTCTTCGGAGTCAAGTTAGAAGTGAGCGTTACCGCGCCAGTGGGAAGACGTGGTCCACGGTGTCGTGTTGATAAAGCCGACTGTAATATCGAGCCTTCTAACTTGACTGTAATATCGAGCCTTCTAAATAGAGCTCCTATGCCGTCCCTAAGTCTAGCTGGTAGCCGTCGCATTTAGGTGGGGCGGTGTCAGGGAACACGGAATGAGCACGCCTCCGGCTGCCATTCTGTCAGTAGCGACCGGTAGGTAACTGAACAAGAAAAGGAAACATCCTGTCGAAAACCACCGCTGGTGAGCATCATTATCTGCCCGCGACTGCTTGCGACGATATCAACTGAGAAAGATGGAACATCAGCCGAGGAAGAGCCCTATTATGTGTCTGACTTTCTCCACACGCCTCGCCTTTCAAAGGTGTAACGTTTTGTAGAAAAAGGGTTCACATGAACATGCTCGTTGAGTACAGCGCGGGGAGAATCTATCGCGCGCGGCAATTTTTCCCTCGTAGATTTTTTGTTTCGGTACGTCTCCAATTCAGATGCGCTACAATATGTCTGTTACGGAAATTCGTGTTGGAATGGTGGCGGCGCCTCACCGCCCTCCCTACCTGACGACGGCAGCTTTTATGGAAAGCAGGTTAAAAAATTGAGGAGAATCAAGGAACGGCGTAGTTGAATGGTGGCAACCCCCACGCCGATTGTGGAGAACCAGGAAAACGAGTGGGAAGGGGTGGGGGTGTGGGGTCGTATCAGAGAAGAAACCTCCAGTTCGCACTCACTATAACCTCCCATTTGTGACCCTTTTCAACGTATGGAAGAACAAATGAATTCCGTCGATGAGTGCACTCACATTTCAGGAAACCGTCTGGTTCTCATGCGACGAGCTGCTGACAAACAGGCGCTGATAACGCAGGAGGTCAGTTGAACATTTCTAGTCATGACATTCCTGGAAACGAAACCTATGTTTGACAGGAAACAGTGGGTGGGATTTCTTGCCGGGGCTAGTTTTGTATGCCAAAAAATGGTGCAAACAAGATGCCTGATGTAGGAGATAGCTCTTGAAAATGGATTTTTTTCCCAGAACCTGGTGGGACATGGTATTGACAACCATCTCTGTGCTCTTCTTGTACTGGCGAGGCAATCTGTGGAGAGCGGAGAAATCGAAAAGCTGCCAGATATCTTTCAGGATCCTCTATGGACGGAAGTGTTGCGATTTCCATTATCTACCAGTCAGGTGAGCCTTCACTGCAGCATGAGGTAGCTACTAAAGTCAACTTGTCATTCTCATTTGAAAGCAAAGTCCGCACCGATCAACTGGGGTGGGGCGGAAACAAGATATCCTATTTGCCGGAGATTGGCTTTTTAACACCTATCAGCCCATGATCATGCGAATACTTCCCTTTCCCTACTACCTGAAGCAGGTGTATTCAGTGGAGCTCTTCCTAAGTATGCTATTTGCTGCTCGGTTTGGTGGGGCATTCTACTGGGTCCCATCGATCTTTGCCTAGCGGCTCCAGTGAAGACCTGTAGATTCTTGTCAAACTATGCTTAGCAGGAGTGTCGTTTACATTTCACAAGATTCTGCAGGTCTCATCAAGATGAACGTGTGGTTCGACAGAACTCTAAAAGAACACTGCAAAAGTCAGAGATACCTCCTCCTTCTCCACCCCCCCCCCACTACCACCTTTTCCGCATCGCCTTTTTCTTGCAGCACTATCTTGAAGATAGCCGTTCATTTCCGTGGACTGGGTAGCTTGCCATCACACATTTTACGGGTACTGTAAGCGATAAAACCTCCCACTGCGCGACCACATCGCGGAGATTGCGCCCAGCAGCTCACTGGGGTGTCAAACACATGGCGTTATCTATATCAGGACTTTTCACAGCTCAGAATGGCTAGTAGCTGTCCGCTGCGTATGACTGGGCGTGCCAGGCGGGATGGTCCCGGCGCGGGCACGAACCCGTTCTCCATCACCATTTGTTGAAGCGAGCAAGCGACATGACTGCATACCATCTCTCGTACCTTTTCCTATCAACTGCTGTCGCTTATCCCCTTAACAATTGATGGAGAACGAGCTCTGGCAACGCGCCAAACCCCACCCTCTCACACGCCCCATCATCCGCAGCGAATAAGTCCACTGAGTCGCCCACAATGGCGCCCATCCCAAGATAATTTTTCCAATTTCCCGAGTAACTCTACCAAGTCCACTCTGACGGGTTATCCTACCATTCTTGAAACTCAAGCACGTTTCATTTCAGGTCACGACATCACCCGATATTACCAACTGCTATCTGTGCTATGGTGCTGTGGTCCGTGATGGATACGGTTGTTCGTATAACCTCCAAAATGACACCATCATTTTTGCCCCATCTGCGTTCAAATCAGATCCACGAACTAATCTGGCTGGATTCAAAGATTCGATACGATCCGCACTTTATGACATGAAAAATCTGCTTGTGAACTGAAAACCCTGTGAAAGGTCTTCTAGTCAACACTTGCTTCTGTCACTGAATTTTATTTATAGATTAATTTATATGTATAGATTAATATATTTGTGGATAGCGACGTATAGTGAAGAGTCTGGTGAAAAAAATCTAGTAAAATAAAGTTATTTTTCCACCTCAAAGTTCTCGTCCAGTTCCCACTGGAGCAGTGAATTTCACGGATCATCTCACAAATCTAAAGGCAGAGCATGCGATCGTCTATAACTGTAAGGCTCCCCGTAGGAAGAGGTAC